AAATAGTCTTTTAAATATTTTGTAGTACAATTGATAATCTTCAGTTTGATTGACCATGTATATGACTTTTATAAGTCTATGTTATTTTTGATGAAAATTATTATTGCAGATAAAAGCCCTTTCACATTTATTTTAGTCTCTCTCGAATTAAATTAATCAATAAGAAAATAATAACATTGGCTCTTTATAACTGATCTTTAAATGTAAAACACTGACTTGAAATTATATAATTATTAGCATTTTTTTTAATTCATTGAACTTTTTTAAGATTTTCTTGAAACTCTATTGGTAATTTATATATATATATATATATATATATATATATATTAGAGTTCTTGATGAAAATAATGTATGCGCGTTACATCGCATCCCATCAAGAATTTCTAATGTAATTCTTGGTGTAAAGCTAAGACGTGATAATAACTGTAAACAATAGAATAACAAAATAATGAAAACATTTACATTTACATACAAAACATTTACTTGCTTTATAACCTAATAAATATTATTTGACCGTAATAAAATAAAACAAGGTAGTCTTGGGAATGAAAGTAAAAATAAATATTTTCGATTATTTTTGTAATATCTAACAGCCGGATCAGCGGGCGATTCTGATCCATCTAAAGATGCTAAATTTCAGCAAGCACTGTCCATTTCAATAGGATATGGATTCAATAGGAGTGACAGAAAAACGGTTCTTGAAATAGAAAGGTAAATAAATTATTTAACCTATGAAGTAAAATCACTTTATTTCAAATCAAAATAGCCCAATAGCTTTATTAACATGAGACATAATTGTACGAGTGCTTACAATGCTTAACATTATTTTACTGAAATCTCAGAAAGTTTTTTTTAAATAGGATAAGGGTGACAAACGAGCACACAGTCCACCTGATGGTAAGTGGTTGCTACGGCCCATACACATCTACATCTATTCTCGATTACGTATCAAAATGTAGATGCGTTGTCACCCGTGAGGACTAAGATGTAATGCCTCGTTTCCAGTAAAAAGGTTCTCCGGTTCTCTACACTCACCATACGAAACACAGCAGGGTTAAACTGCTATTTTATATGTTATTTCGTGAGAGCGTGGCCCTTCCCCGGTCGAGCCGACCCATTCGTGCTACAACTATACCTAATAAATATAGCTGTAGCATGGCTCTACCACGTAAAAAAAAATTGACGTTGAAAATTGAAGTATTTTTAGAAGCAACTTTGCAATTATTTTCTATTGAGTTAATTTTTGTGGAATCGTGTTTTGCAAACCGCCACCTAAAATACGTACAATTTTTTTTCGATAATAACGTGAAATTACTAAACGATCCCCATGCATTTCAATGTGGCTCTATTCAGCCTCTTAATATGAACATACCTCGGAGTTCAGAGATAATGGAAGATATAATATTATATTATTACTGTTCCGTGTGAGGCAACCTTTATACTTATATACATATTCTCATCATATTTTTATGGTTGGTTAGAAAAATTATATCTAAATGCAAACTTTCACAGGGTTTTTTTTTTACTATTTTTACCCAGCAAGTAGTAAAGCAACTACAATCCCATCGGTAAGTGGTTATGTAGTCTAAGATGGTGAATTGCACTGACTTAACAAAAACCTATTCACTCTTGCCTAATAGTACTAGGTAAGTATTATTTGCGACCTATTTGTGTGTGTGTGTGTGTGTGTGTGTGTGTGTGTGTGTGTGTGTGTGTGTGTGTGTGTGCGCGTGCGTGCATGCGCGCGTGTGCGTGTGTGTGTGTGTGTGTATGTGTGAAGAAAAGTGTATGAGAATACGTGAAGAGGAATAAAAGTTGAGTACTAATTCGCTTACCTGTACGAGGTTGCCACTCGAGGACCTTTCTTCCTATTTTTCACTGTAATATTCCGTTGAGCTATGTCAGTTACTCTGATTCTAATGCAAATACCTTCATTTCTAACTTTATCACGTAGAGAAACCCCTCTCCAATTTAAATTTTTTACATTTTTTAGATGATAGTTTGTCTAACATAAAAAAAACCATAAACCCAAGAATGTCTTTATATAGTTATTTATACTTAGGTAAGCACCATTCTTTTATTTATTTAAATTGTTTGATTTAATTTGATAACAGTGTACCTAAATGTAAGTATCTGTATCTTTATTTCTCTCCCAAATAATATTTTATAAAGTCATACTTATAAAAACAGCGTTTTATTGTAATACATAATTATAAAATTCAGTATCAACTAATTAATAAAAATATGCAACAATAAAATTATATAGGTATTAAAAACGATCGAAATCTAAGTAACGAGAGCATGTTCGTCGTTCCACATCTAAATTATATAAAAATGCATTTTTCAATTTCACTAATCAACGTCGCCGCAAAAATTTCTTCTTCTTTGGGCACTTTAAAAATTCATTTATTTAGAAAATAATATTTACAGTTACTAGTGTACAGATATTAACTAAATTAGGTATTTCTAGTCATAAAAATATTTATAATGGAGTATAAACTTTTAAAAAACCAATATATATTTGAAAGAAGTCGCTCCAACACCGACGTGCGGTCCACCTTCGACGATGTCCGAAAACGGACTGTGACAGAGCTTACATGGCGACAGAGCATGCGCGCTCGCGTAAATATATTCAATTTCAGGGAAAAATGATATATTCTCTTATAAAACGGGTAATAACAATAAAACTCTCAATTAAAAATATTAATATTTTTAAGATCTTTTTTTTAGTGTATGAACTTATTAAAAAGCTTGTGCCGTTTTGGAGAAATTTTGCAAAATATGACAAAGATAGGTACTCTTTGGGGATTTTTTTTCTAATAAGGGGTTGACAAAAAAAACAATTTTGTTAAATTAAAAACATTTACCAAATCTTCTTCTGTTACCTTGTATTTTTTCTTTGTGGATTAAATGAACAGTTATTGAGATTTTTTTACTTAAATATCCTAGATTTAGGCATTTCAAGCACTGTTAAGGCCTTAAACGTAGTGATTATATTCTCTTTAGGTATATTTAAAAACACAGAAGTACATAAACCTTTTAGTATTAACATTCATCATAAGTTGAAAAAGTCTAAATTATACTAAACTAATTCTTGTAAGGCAAAGGTTTTTTTGTATATGTAACTTATATGAGACATTTAAAAAAACATTATTATACTATCTTTCAACTAAGGAAGTTGAACATTGAAGACTGTTATAGGGGATCATTCTTGTGATGTTGATGTATTTCGGTTAATTTTTTTTTTATATTGTATATTGTACCACTCAAAATACACTCACCGGCACGGAATCTTGGCCAAGCGGTTATCTCGCGATAGCAAAAGCTTTAAGTGTTTCTGATGAATGTTTGTTATGCAGGTATGTCAAAAAATGTTTGCTCTCAAGTTCAAGAGGGTAATTCATTATGTTTAAGTGCACCATGACGAATTCTTTAATTTTTAGTTGAATCGGGTCATTTGAGCGACTAAGTTCACATTTTAAATTTGTGTGTTGTGAAAAGTTTACTGTAAGGTTATTCAATTATTGTGATCTTGTGTCTTAATTCAATAACTAAAGGTGCTTTAAAGCCAATAAAGATGCCATTAACACCAGCACAAGTTGCACAAGCAGTAGCATTAATTGACCAAGGGCTGACACAGCGTGAAGTTGCTATTGTGCTTAACGTACCACGGTCCTCAATGCAGTATTCACTGAAACGATACCAGGAGACGGGACGCTACACCCGCAGGCCAGGCAGTGGGGGCGTAAGGTGCACATCGGCCCTTGACGATCGTTTTATTGTTATGGAGATTTTGAGAAACCGCTACCTGACCGCTGTTGAGATACGCCAGCGGCTCCAAATCGCAAGAGGCGTTAATGTTAGTGAGCGTACGGTGAGAAGACGAATGGAGGAAGTGAATTTAAAAGCTCGTAGACCAGCACGAGGTCCAGAACTTCTCAGACAGCACCGAGTAGCCCGACTTCAGTTCGCAAGAGAACATGTCAATTGGACCCACGCAATGGGCTAGAGTGTTGTTCACAGATGAGTGTCGAATAGCTTTACGTGCTCCAGATGGTCGAGAACGAGTGTGGAGAAAAAGAGGAGAGAGGTTTCTACCCATTACCACCACCCAAACTGTGAGTTTCCATGGAGGCTCAATAATGGTATGGGGAGGTGTAAGTTCCGACGCACGTACAGAGTTGGTCATCGTCGATAATCGGCTTACAGCTACTCGATACATCGAGGAAGTTCTTCAGGAGCACGTAATTCCTTATTCGGGATTTATTGGACACGACCAATTCCTCCTCATGCACGATAATGCACGCCCGCACGTCGCACTTTGTGTAGAGGAATATCTGGAAGAGGTTGGAATACAAAAATTACAGTGGCCAGCTCGTAGCCCGGACTTAAATCCAATTGAGCATGTATGGGGTATGTTCAAAAAAGAAAGATAAAGTCCAGCTCCAAACCGTCACAAACTCTAAATGAGCTCCGAAATGCAGCGCTGGCCGCTTGGGACAGCATACCGCAAGTTGATGTCAGAAACATCATTCAAAGCATGCCAGATCAAATACAAGCGGTTATCAGGGCTAGGGGAGGAAACACCCAATATTAAAACTGATAGACAATAAAGAAACAGACTTAATTTTTAACTTTGTAGTGTTTTTAAAGTGACAATGGAAAGATGTTAATTTTAGTGAAAACATGTTATCTTGAAAAGAAAAATTTCGGTGAAGTAAACATTAAATTTCTACGTTCTAAAACCATTAGAGACACTTATTGAATGCATCTACCCTTAATTTACTGTTAAAAAAACGTTTCAGTGCAAATAATCAGCAAATTCACGAGTGGCCAAGTTTCCGTGCCGGTGAGTGTATGTAATTTACTCAAATAAATTTCAAGTGGTGTCAATTATATTCTAAAGAAAGTACTTAGTCAAGTACAGACAATACATACAGACGGCAGACTATTGGTACGCGAATTGCCTAAAATACTTTAGAAATTAAAAAAGTACTTACCAAGCAATGGTCTGAAAATGACGTAAAATATCCATTTTCGGCAGCTGTCCCTATAAAAAAATAGTTTATCTTAAAGTAGATATGACGAACGGAAACCAAACGCCTATATTATGATGAAACGCAAATGATATACTAATAATTAGAGTTGTGATTTGTGTATGACCAAATATTTTACTTACTGAAGTTCGCAGATTAATTACGTGAGAGGCCAATGATAAACATTTAAAACCATTCATTAAATATATTTACATACTTGATTAGAAAGTACTTTCATTACAAATAATGGTAAGCTTTGCAAAATAATTTGTAATTGCGGTTTTTATCAGTGACGTAAAAAGTGAAAGATTAACCATAAATATAAATAAAAAGAATAACTGACACTCACTCTGACAGTGTCATTGTCAAAGAGTATAGTAACCATAGATATATTGCGGCACTATAAACCAGGGAATAGTAACTGTCCTATTATTATTATTATGATAGGGAAAACATTTCTGTTTCTTAGCTCTTTGGCTAGTTTTTACTGCACATACAGGCCGAAGCCAAGCAAATGCAGCGTGGAGAGAGTATTTATGTAGGTGGTGTGTTCTGGGTAGCTATTTCATTTTCTTCCAATTGCATGAATTTTCTTACAATTCGACAAGTATTTAAAATTGCGGCTTTTTGGAGTATAATGTATGTTGACTCTTTTAGGTCTATTAATTTGAGGCTATGGTGGAGATGGTTGGGTATGACGCCCGTGGTGGAGACGACTATGGGTACTATATAAACTTTATTTTGTCTCCAAATTCTGGTCACTTCTTCTTTAAAGCTCTGCATATTTGCTTATGTTGGGAATTGCAATATCTATTAGGTAAGTGATTTTACTTACTTTATCGTGTAGTGTTATGTCTTGTCTATTATAGTGAATGGTCCTATCCACAAACTAGTAAGAAGTGCTAGCGGTAAGTATGGCGCGGTCGTAGTAAAGTTTATGTGTAGGATTTTCTAAACCAGTTTGTGGCGTATATTTGTAGTAGGGTGTGTTTGTGTCTTGTATAAGTTTATGTTTGAGTGCTAGTTTTTGATGAATGATGTTTGCTACTTGGTTGTGTCTGTGAGTGTAGTCTGTCTGTGTGAGAGTTGTACATGCCCCTGTTATGTGTTGTATTGTCTCTGGTTGGGTGAAGCACTTGCGGCATTTGTCGTTGGTTACTGTGGGGTCTTTAATGACTTATTTCCTGTAGTTTTTAGTGTTGATGATCTGGTCTTGTATAGCGATGATAAACCCTTCAGTTTCCGGGAATCCAATTTTAAGCCATTTATTTAATGCTACTGTATCTACAAGTGGTTGTTCCAGGTCCATGTGGGTGTCGTCCGTGTAGGACTTTCTTTTTCCAGTCCTCTAACTTTTGTTTTTGTGGGTCATTAGTGTTACATGTTGTGTTGTGTATCTGTTTGTTCATTTAGGTTAAGTGGAGTATAGTTAAAAGCATTTAGGGCTACGGCTTTATGGATGTCACTAGTGCGAGATTTATTGTGAAAGAATGTTTTGAGGCTACTAATTTGTTTCTGCCAAAGGTGATGAAAGTCTATTAGGCCTCTCCCTCCATTTTGTCGTTTTATTGTGAGTCTTTCTATTGCGGATTTAGGGTGTAAATTATTGTGTTTTGTAAGTGTGATGCGTGTGGTTCTTTCTATTTGCTGGATGTCAGTTTTAGACCATTTAATCACTCCAAACGAGTAGGTTAATATTGGGATCGCGTAGCTATTTAATACTTTAATAAGATGTTTTCCACCGAGATGTGTTTTGCATACTGCGGTTACTCTCCGTTTGTATTTTGTATTCAGTGTGTGTTTAATTGCTGTATGGTCTAGTCCTTTGAGTTGTTTGTATTCTAAATATTTATATAGATCTGTCAGTTCCATAGCAGTGATTGTATCAGTAGTGTTAATGTATAGTCGCCTGGTTTTATTTTGCCTAACTCTGTTATAGTGTCTATTAATTTTTTCATTTCTTTTTCTGTTTTTGAGTATAATTTAATGTCATCCATATATATGAGGTGTGAGATAGTGATATCTTCTGTGGTGTTGTGTTTGAATCTATATCCGGTTTGGCACTGATGCAGTAAGTGAGATGGAGGGTTTAGTGCGAGGCAGAACCATAGAGGACTTAGGGAGTCACCGTGATAAATACCTTTTCTAATGAATATCTGCCGAGTTCTTACGATATTGTCGTGGTAATTCAATTGGAGTGTAGTTTTCCAGCGGGAGAAGATATGATGTAAGAAGTCTATTATTTTTTGGTTTATTTTGTATATTCGTAATACTTGAATTAACCAAGAGTGTGGAATACTATCAAAAGCTTTTTTGTAATCTATGTAGATACAATGAAGGTTTATATTTTTTGTGGCGGCATGTTTGTGGACTATTGAATCTATAATTAATTGTTCCTTGCACCCCATGTGGCCTCGTCTGCACCCTCTTTGTTCTTCCACTATTATGATGTGGTGTTCTATGTGTTTATTGATTTTAGCTGTGATGGATGAGGTTAGGATCTTGTATATTGTCGGTAGGCAAGTAATCGGTCTGTATTGGGACGGTCGTGGAGAGTATTGAGACTTCGGTAACATGTAAGTTATTCCTGTTGCAATAAATTCAGGTATATTTTGTTGTCCTAAAATTATGTCTGTTAAGTTTTTAGCGATAATTTTGTGTAATGAGTCTAGTTTTTTGTACCCGTAATTATGTACTTTATCATTGCCGGGTGATTTCCAGTTGTGTAGTTTTGCTGTAATACTATTTATATCAGATTCAGATATCGCAAGGAATTAAATTTCTTCTAGTGCGCTCCACTTAGATTCTTCATCTGCTATCCAACCAGCTTTATCATTATGCTGCACTTGTTCTTCCCATATGCTTGTCCAGAATGTTTCCATTGTTCTGATGTTGGTAGTTTGGTGTTGATGTCGGTTGTTACGTCTATTTGTGGTTTCTGTAAATTTCTGTAAAAGTAATTTTCGTTAGTAGCAAACATGGCATTATCATTTTTGCGTTCTTGTGCCTTATTGTATCTTCTCAGCCTATGGACTCTTAGCGCGAGCTTCTGTTTTAAAGTGTCTAAGAATTCTTCGGGTTTGCTATTGTCGTTTTCATGTATCGTGTGGGTGGCCATGTTCTTAAATATAGCCTCGACTCTTTTGACTACTTTGTTAGATCTGTTATCTTTATATATAAAAATTTCGTGTCACGTTGTTTGTCCGCGATGGACTCCTAAACTTCTGAACTGATTTCAATTAAATTTTGCACACTGTGTGCATTTTAGTCCAGCGATAGATAGAGAGATAGGATAGTTTTTATCCCGATAAATCAGCTTCAAATTTTTTTATTGCGAATTTAAGGAATTTTATAGGAAGGGTCGTTGGAAAGGGCAGAACAACGTCTGCCCGTCGAGCTAGTTTGATATATTTTGTTAGTCTACCGCAGTCAGCTATTTTTCTATATCTCTTTCGAGTTATTTGTAGAGCATTTTCTGTTGGTGTATGCGTTTCTGGGATAGGATTTTGGTTTAAATCTTGTAACTGTCCACGTACTTCTTCTTTTAGTTGATCTATTACTTCTTGAGGTAAAAGTTTATTCCTTACTATTGTTCTTCTTTGATCGGAAATACGTTGTTCTGTAACACTAATTTCTGGGTATTGTCTTGTAAAACGTTCATGCAATTGCTGTCTGTATGTGGTCATATCGGTCTCTAATTTGGTGATGTGGAAGTAGGTTCGCATGATAAATATGTTTACTTCCTTACTCCATCTCATGCGAACTCTTGGTTTCCCAGCCTTGGTGGAAGAAGGTATTTACCCGCCCGCGGCAAGAAGGTATTTACCCCTCGCGCAACATTCAAGGTTAGCAATGATGAAGCTGTATGAGAACAAGTAATGGGGGGTGATAAAGATATGGAAGATGACGATGGTATTCGTGGTGATGATGATCTGGAAGGTGTGTATGAAATGGTGCTTGGGCTGAGTGGTTCTAAAGGATTGTCTGTTCTTTCGGTCGGTCTATTACCACCGTCACTGGTTTCGGCTGTAACATCTTTGTCGGTGAGGGCCCACCTGTTCAATTCCTGACCGCTGACGGTTCGCATGCCGAGACACCCAGCACCAGCTCCAGGTGTACCCCAGCGATCGCCCCCGGGCAGCGGTCCTAAACGTTTTCTTTTTGAACGAGTCTCCATGTTTAATGGGTTTCCAGAGCCACGTTAGCCACGCCAGTAATTTTCAATCGTGTGTCCGCCCCCCACGTGATTTGATGGTCAATCAGGATGTGTGGTTGTTTAAGGGGCTTATTATTATTATTTGGGTTATCTATAAAGTTTTCTCACCTGGTTGGGCTCTTTAAATATATAATTGTAAACGAAAGATGTAAACATACATAAATATCAATAAAACAGAATAAATACATAAATATATAAAAACCCCACCAGATGGAAGCCCTCGGCAGGGGAGACCAAACGGCTGAGGGTTAGGGGGAAAGTGAAAGAAACCGGCGGACGATGCGGGCGGTATCGAGGAGCACCGCCTTCTGCATTTGAGCTTGGAGCGGTACCGTCACGGAGTCCCAGTCGCCTCAGATGACTCGAGATTAACAGGTTCGCAGAAACGACCAAAGGAATAATTTCGGCCGGCAGACCACTCCACATGTCGGTCACCTCGTGAGCCAGGTCCAGATATTTTGTCAGCTTATCTGTTTCGGCTTTCAAGAGGTTCTCGTCATAAGGAATGGCAATGTCGACCAAAAATATCCTTGACTGTGCCCGGTCCATCAGCACAATATAAGGCTTATTCGCAAGAATAGTCCTATCTGTGATGTTGGCCCGGTCCCTGTAGAGCCTGGCGCGGTCATTTTCGAGCACGGCTTCCGGCAAGTAATTATAATATGGCAGTTTCATATCCACGAGACCGTATTTCAGAGCGAGCTCCTGGTGTAGAATCCTGGCTACTAGGTTGTGTCTGTGCAAATACTCAGAGTTAGAAAGCGCCGAACAACCGGAGATGAC